AAGAATGTGTAAGGAATGAAGTCAATAGCCTACAGAGAACTGTGGGTATAAGGCTGATTTGAAAAAGAAGGGGGAAATCTCTCCATTCTTCAATGGAAAAGAACTTGATAAATGGTTCGAGCCAGCTGAGTTTTGGAAGTTGTAGAAAGTCCTGCTCATGTTAGGAGTCACCTTTTCTAGCAAATCAACAGAAGCAAAAAGGTCAAGGGAGTATGGAGAGTTTGAAGCGCAGGGGAAATGATGTGATTGTTCCCCTATGCTGCTGTGGTGCATCTGTCACCAGGTTATGTGGCTGCAGCTTTTCTGAAGGAGAAGGCCGTCTGTTAGTACAGCACTGGCAAGTACAGCAGACACTCCAGAGGTATGGGTACAGTCATGCTGGGCATGTTTGTCACTGGTTATACCAGGCCTATCTACCCCCCACTTAATTGTTTCCCAATTGCATATATAAACCTGAGTTAAAAGAGCTTCTACTGTGTGACTGGGACATTTGAAAGGTGCTTGCACATTCTTGGGATGTAATGGGGAGCTCTGGGGTTTTGAACACCAGGTTAGCAAAAACCACTATTCTGTTACTTTCTTCTCATACAGCAGCACTGGGGCTCAGCCTACAGATGAATCAAGGCTGCCAGTTCACTCATCCAGAAATACTTTTTTCAGCACGTAGCAACCAGCTCAAAAATTTCAGTGTCATCTTTGTATTTCTTTGCCTTTTTGTTAAGGGGAAAGCTGCTGCCCGAGCATTCAGACATCAATCAAGCAGTCACACACACACACCAGCCAAGACTGTAACTGCTAGGAGTGGACTGGAGTCTCTTCGCATCGGGCAAGTCCAGTGAGCTGGCGGGTGCCCCTTTCGACTCCTCACATGCAGACATACACAGACCCAGACACACAGAGACACTCACACGCCCCCCCTCCTTCGGGTGCTGCTTCTTCCCTCAGGGTTGACCCTAGGTTCCCCAAAGCAGAATCTCTAATCAAGGCCTTCAAAAGAAAAAGTGTAATTTGTTCGATCTATGGCGCACAAATTTAGACAGCTTGAGCTGGGTGCCTCCAGAGAGGGACCCCAGAAACTAAATCCCTGGCCTTACAGTTTAAGTTTCTGCCCCTCACACCATAGTCTGGTCCAACAGTAATATTCAGGTCTGGGGTCTTCTCTCTCATTGGGTCCCTTTTCTCGTCTCTAGGCAGGTTCTTTCTCTTTCCTGGTTTTAAGGGTGGTTGTTACTATGTCTGCTTTTCCTGGCTCAAGCTTTCCTGGCTCTGGGGCTTTCTGAATTTTCTTACTCCTCCAACCAGAGAATAGGTCAATGTTAAGCAAAAGCATTAAGCAAGCTATGAGTTCTGCTTTATCATGAACGACTATTTTTAAGTAGCTTAACAAAGTTCTTAAAGCCATCCAAAACATACTAACAGCCTCTATAATTTATATACATTCCTGTGCTATTATAGCCTTACAAACTTATCCCATGATTGCCATGTGCTGTTTACGTCTTGTTTGGGTGTCTTCCACATGCTCTTGTAGCTCAGCTTTGCCACCTTCCAAAACACTTTTAATAATGATAACTCAGCAATTTAATTCGATGTTTTTACGTTCTGCCTCTTTGAAGTATCACCATGCAGATAGCAGGGCATCTTCTTGGAAATTTTTTTCACTGTTAAAAAGAATCCAAAGTTTAAATATATATTTGGACTTTCGGTGGGTTTAGGGTTTTCTTCTTTGTCTTCCTCTCCTTTTTTTAACTAGAAAGTTCGAGGAAAGGAATTATTACATCTGGACTCCATGTTAAATGAGGGCTTGGAGGGGGAAAAAGCAAAGGCTACTGTGGCTGAGCTGAAGAACAAAGAACAGACTCCATAATAAGGATTTAAATCTAAGCTATTCCATTCCCAAGAGCCACTCATAATAATTATGTTCTGTGGTTGATTTATTTATAACTATAGCAGTTGCAGTGGGAGCAAAACATTAGGCCAAATTCTGACCTAAGAATATAAATCTAGAATAATTTCACTCTGATTTTTTAAATTTTAATGGCATTACTTTGGATTCATTCTACTGTAACTGAGATCAGAATCTGTTCTGTTGTATTAGATTATTCTTTTTCTTTGAGACTGCATTTCTACCATCCTTTTGTCTAATTTTGAACACAAAGAGCAGCAGAGTGTATGTTTAAACTAGTGTGTCAGCCATCTCTGTATGCTCATCTGTACCTTGACGCTGACCAGACTTTGAGCCTCCTCTGTACTCCAGGGACAGACTGGCTGACAGGCTCTCCAAGGCTGTGGAGTCTAGCTCACTGCACAGCTACCAATTCCTTTCAGTGGTACAAGGAGGCACTTTTTAACTATTTAGGACACCGTCTCTGCTTGTAAACCAGTTTTGCAGAAAGGGGAGAGAAGTCAGAGAGCCATTATGGATTCTGCTGTACCCAGGTGATAAATCTGTGGTAGCAGCAGTGTTTCACTATTTAAGAGTAAATGAAACAGATAGCTTTGCAAAATTGGAGAAGTTCCGCAATGGCAAATGAAACTACCCAGCCTGTCTGAAAACTTAATGCATGTGAGGAGCTCTGGGAACACTGCAAGTTTATTTATGCACCCTAGACTGTACTGCACTGGCTATTTTTTTTCTGTGTGTTATTTACATGTCTTCAAATTGTCTGCCTAGCACATCAAAAAAGCTGTCAGATGAAAAGTCCTTTCCCACAGCAGAAACAGTGCTCTACAGCCTTTGCGCTTACTGCCTGTAACTGTTAAGTGGGAACATGGGCTGCAGAGAAGCTAAAGGATTTGTCAGCTTGGTTTATTCAGCTTCTTTTAGTCAGTTAATGTAGAAGTATTAGTTCCTTCATTACAGTAACATTCTTCAGTAACAATCATATGTCAGCCTGTGGAAGATGAAACTAATTATTCTCCATTTTGGGACATGCCTGTTCTGGATCAGAAAATACAGTGCCTTCAAGAATTCATCTCTTAGTTCAGTAAACCAGCTTGCAGTGACAAGTGCCAGCTATTCCTCTTCCCCCTTTTTTAAGACTTAACATCTTCTTGGGTATATTTTTAAAATTCTGGTTTGGGTAGCTTTTACAAAAATGTAAAGCAGGCTGCTTCTGTAATTGTTCCTGAATTTAGCCATGCGCTGATGGCTGAAATGTGATCCCCTGGTTAATAAGCAACTAACTTATTGTTAAGTATCTGTTATGGTTTTTGATAGATTGTATTTATTTTACCTTTGGAAATAACAATCATTTGTTATAATCCAGATGTTTGGCTAATTGTATAGAGTTTTGATTCGAATATTGCCAAGACATCTGTACTTATTATCATTTCCTTAGTTCAGTGATGTCTCAGTTCATGGATTGAGCATTTAGGCCTCCTCCACTGTGACCTTTGATATTAGCTTTAGCATCAAGATGAGTGGATGTGACAACCAAAAGCAAAAACAACCAAAAGCATTTCTTAAGGAGATAAAGTAGTTGTGTTTTGATAGATCCGGCTATTTCTCTGGTCCCCGGTTTGTACATCAGGAGCAAGAAGGGTTGCACTGCATCTCTAAAGCTACTTGAAATTATATAAAAAGGATTTGCCTCTGATGAACCCAGCATGGGCCAAAAAAACTCAAGACACTTTCCCACATCATCTGCACCTTAGGAATGGCAAATGTAGAGGCAGTGCAAGGATACACTGAGCAGGACAGTTCTGTATGCTGATGTGTTCCCCACATACATGCTAACAGACACAGCGGTGTTCACATCTGCAGTGGATATACCCCAGTACCTACTCAGCCAGGGAGTCCAAAATGAGGCGCATGTTTCTGTTGAAGGGACCCAGACTTGTTACAACCACAGTTGATATTTCATGTAATCTGTAATCAAAAATATGTTTTCAGTACGGAAATTCTCACTGTATGCCCCCTTCAGTGAAACTGTGCAATTTGTCCATTAATTCACCTCTCTTATGAGTGCTGAGCAGTATTTAACAGGAGACTAAAATTTGAAAACTAGAAAGCTTGCAGCAGCGTTAATTTAATATCTCCATCTTCTTTCTGCAAATAATAAATGTTTATGGGACTGGTTAGCTGTAAGGTTTTGTGGGTTTTTTTTTAAAGAAGCAATAACTACAGTTATGTAGTTCAAATGTGACTAAAATATGAACTATAACTAAAAATCAGGAAGATGTGCACAAAGCAAAGTAGCAGTACAGTTTAGAGCATGGCACTAAAGTCATCATGTCTGAGGCACAATCACAGAAGGAGATGAACCCTTCAGCTTTTTGGGGCAGCTCAGTGGTACACAATGCCATGCAAGATCAGTTTTTAATGAAGGGCAGATTTTAAGGAATTATTGGTGCCACATTGTGGACGCCTGGCTGTTCACTTGCAGATATTGCTTCTGCTGCTGCTTTGGAGTCTCCAGCTGCAAAGTAGTGTAACTTCTAAGGTATTTTGGAAGAGCTGTTCTTGTGTGTCTCCAAGAATTATTTTATTAAAAGAGCAACCAGATTGGTACACATAACTGGGAGGAAGGTGAAAACAAAGGGGTCTGTCCTTCAGTCAGGTATTTCAAATTTGTTACTAAATTTGATGCTGTGAAATGCCACTGTTTAATAAGATGAGCAGGAGAGTGTCTGTCACTTCTAGGATGAGCTCTGTATGTATTAATATGGGGAACAGCCACCTTAGGATGTAAAGCCATTGATGTTAATGGGACAGTGTGCACTGCAATGAAAATCACATTTCTGAATGTTACAATACTGGATGTTGCTCCATTAAATTGTTCAGGGAAAAAGGATCAGTACCTGTCATCTTGATCCATTAAAGTTGCTTAAGTATTTGGTTGTCTTTGGTGCTAGCGGTCAGATAAATGTATGCATTAAGTGATCTTCTGGATTGGAAAGGAGGCCTGGGAAGTCTTAACCTAGTTTGCAGTTACAAACTCGTGCTTTGCTCCAAAGCTGTTGTCTTGGGAGGATGACAACCCTGCCTTCTCTGTTCACAGGTGTTCCCTTTCCAAAGAACTTCCTTCAGATCTGCAAGAAGATACTCTGCCGGCTTTTTCGGGTGTTTGTTCACGTCTACATCCATCACTTTGACCGTATCATCCTTATGGGGGCTGAGGCCCACGTCAATACCTGTTACAAGCATTTTTATTACTTTGTGACAGAGCTCAACCTCATAGACCGCAAAGAACTAGAGCCTTTGGTAAGTGTGGGGTCTGGGGGAAAGCTCTAGGAAATTTTCCTCCTCCCTTCACTGAGCCTTTCCCACACTTGTTGCAGTGGGCTTCTGCTGGGAATAAGGTCCATGGTTGAACACAGGCAATTTAAAGGGATGAACTCTTGCCTCTGTCCATAGACCCATTCTACCTGCTCCAATATTTGAGAGATGCTCATTAGGCTCAGTAGAAAAAGAAAAGTGCAATGTATTTTGTATGGAAGAATACAAGGTGGGAAATACTGCCATTTGGAAATAGAAGTTCATTTGTCTTCTGCTTCTTCCTGTACTATAAATTTTATATATAATTTTATTCTGTCTTTTTTCATTGGTCATTAACAGCATGGTACACATAGCAGTCACCTGAATACATGTGAAGGGAACAGTGGTCTATATAAAGGTGAATTTTTTTTAATTTTTTTTTTAATCTTTAAGTAGGTGTTTGTGAAGGTATTGAGTGTGTTAGATCCAGAGCACACTCTGGATCTAAGTGAGACAGATGAGGTGAGACAGCAGTTCAGACAATTAGCAGTGTAACAAAACCAGGTGCTTCCTTTTGGATTGAAATAGGTCAAAATTACATTCATTGTTTCCAAAAGTAAGGCTCCAGAAATGGAAACGCTTTTGCTGTTGCTTGCAGATGCAAATAAAAGAAAAGTGTAAGCAGAGAAGGAAAAGTAAGGTTCAATTCAGAAAGCGGTTTATGCAGAAACCCTCGCTGCGGGCACTTAGCCAACTTTAAAAGGGATCAGGGCAACATTTCTCCATGGGTCAGAGTTTGGAAAACACTGTGTTCTACAGCTTTTTGATGAAGTGCTAGAACCATTGGGATATTTTTTTTTTCCACAGAATCAGAGGTTGGCTGGCACCTGTGGATATCTCGTAGTCCAAATCCCTACTGAAAGCAGTGTCACCTAGCAAGGGCTGTCCAGGACCATATCAAGTTTTCTGTTGTTCCACATGAAGGCACATTGCAAGGAGGTGTATAGCATAGTTGCTATGAAACACTTCTGAAAATGTGGCAAAGTGATGTTTGCCTGCATTTCTGCAAGAATTGGAGCTGTTGCAGGTGTGGTACATGTATATGCTTATGTTGATTGAAGGAGAGCCTGTGAAGTGAGACAAAATGGATGGGTTTGTTTTCAGCAGTTTACAATGCCTGCTGAAAGACACTGCATATGGCATGTATTGATAACCTGCAATGTATCTATGGTTTCTTTCTAGACAGGAGAACTTAATATGCTACCTAAATGTGTTCTAAGGGATAGAAGGAGGCCCTGCAAAAGAGAATTTCCCTGCCAAACTAGTGATCCTAGGTTCGCTGTAGCTGTTAAATGCTAAGGCTGTGTCACAAGCAAGATACAAGGCAGGATATCTCAGAGGTAGGAAGAGAGGCAATCTTAAGGCTGTTACAAGGTCCTTGCTTGCTTTGGAATACAGAGAACACAAAAATGATTTAATGCTGCAGTTGGTGGTTAGCAATATTCCTGCACTAAGCAGACAATTGAAGGGTTGGGGCCAGAGTGGTGCAGGAGGTGGCCCAAGTCCAGCAGCAGAGCAAGCTAGGAATGTGCTTCAACTGGTGTGTGCTTTACCCTTGCATTCCAGCATTCTGTCCCTTCACAAAATTGCCCTTATGATCATCATATGATGCAGTATTATTAACTTTGCTGGGATGCAGGGTCTCCCAGAAAAATGTTTTACCTGCACTGGGGAGACATTGTGTCAGCAAACCTTCAAAGCTCCACTTGCTTCCATCTTACTGTCCTTGACAGTGTGGAAATGCAGAAAAAAACCATATATCTGTAATTTTGTCTTCAGCTGGGCAGAGGAAAGGGAAGGAGTTGCCAAACAAAAGCAGACATTACAAATAATCTTGAATTTTAATGGGGTAGTTGAGACAACCTGTGCCCTGCCAGGTTCACCATGGCAGGAAATGAGCCCACATTATCTCCCTTAATTAGAAAATGGGCCAAGAGCTGATTAAATAAACAGACTGCCACATGCTTTAATAAACATGAAGGCAACTGATTTATCAAGATAACTTCAAGAATGGAGAATAATTGGGGAAGCAGGCAGTAGATGAATACTAATACTAGCCTGCAGGACTTATGCTCTTTGTTTAAAATAGATTTTATCAGCCTTTTGCAGCCCGGTGCAGCAGTTATAAAATCAAATGAAACAAATGAGCCAAATACACTTCCCCCTCCCATTCAGGAATTGTGTAACTTGTCCTTTCTGCAGTCAAAGAGGGGACTATAGTTTAAAATGCTGCATATCTTTTTCCCATCCCCATTGCTATGTTAATATGACAGATCCCGAAGTCTTCATAGAGCTGTTTTATGTGGGGACAAAAAAGGATGTTGGCACAGTCACTGACCCCGCAGGTGGTCCCGAGGAAAAAAATGCAGGTCCAATTGGTTAACTTGGGGGAAAAGAAGAAGTCTGAAAGTGTATCTGCCCTTTCCTGCAGCTAACAGGCAGACAAGGCAGTCTGCACTGTGAGAGCTCTCAGAAGACCTTTAAGGCATGCCTCCATGGGGAGGCTATCAGGAAATAAACTAAGGTTTGAAGTTTAAGATGTCACATCTGGTTTGTGCTGGGTCCCTGTGTGACTGGCTTTATTTTCCACTGGCAGTAGTTCATTTTAATTCACTTCCAAGCCTCTTCCCATGGCCAAAACTGTCCAGCTGAGTGCTGCCTATTACCTCCATCCCACCGTCACTCTGTGTAGGTGACTGTTTGAATAGGGTGCTTTAAACACTTCATCTAAACGTGCTTTTTAGTGAGAATCTTAATGCAGCTGCTTCAGCCCAGTAACTTCCTGTTCAAACGACAGCCCAGGTACAGCAAGTAATGCCCATCTACTTCCTTTCTGTGATCCCTTTTCTCTAACAATGGATTTTGTAGTATGTAGGACTTGAGAAATATGCCAGAGTACTTTATAAGCATGTCCTGAGCAAAACAGTCTTGGTTTGGGGAATTTTACTTAATTTATTGCCAGTTAACAAAACTTTTGATTACAGATCTGGGTATTGAGGAAAAAAAAGACAATTAAACAAAACACTTAGTGAAGAAACACCTCTCTTCCCCAAGCTCTAATTCAGTAAAAAACTTCTCTTCCTCCCTTCTGGGTGTCAACTCACCTTGGTTTTGCTACATGTTACACTCAGCTACTCCTAATCCCTTTGGTGAGGCGAGAGGCAAAGCAGGAGATTAGGGATGTGTGTACTGCTTCTTGCTTCTTACTCATTTTCCTCTGCTCCAGCATGGATTTACCTTGGGGGACAGTCCCTCCCTGGTGTCCCTGCTCTGGTGTGGGTTGCAGATGACCCACAGTCTGTTCAGGGGTGTGCCTGCTCTGGCACAGGGTACTTCCTTCCAAAAGTACATCATCTCCACTCCCCAACAGTGCCACCTGCCATGTGTCCTCTCCGTTTAGCGGCTGCTGCTGTGAGCAGATGCACCATGTGCTTCTCTGTCTGGTTGAAGTTTTGACACATGGTGGGTTATTTGCAGCAGTTTCAGGGGCAGCTGGAGGTAGCTGTGAGTGGCACAGGGCAGTTCATGGCCTCCCAGCACAAGTCACACCTGTAGCCCCCTGCTACCAAAACCCTGCCAGTTATGCCCAGTGCAAAGCATCCTCTGCAAAGTAAGTCATATGCAATCTGTTGCTTAAAGCCTTGCTTTCTGTTTCCAGTTCCGTTGTGAGTTTCTTGCCTATCTCTGGGTAAGAGCACTTTTCATGAGTTTTCCCATGTGGAATATAAGAATGTTTAGCATTTGACAGAAATATTGTGAGCCTGCATTCAACAGTGTTTGGAAAGTACTCTGGTAAGATGAAATAAGAGTTGTAGGAAGAGTAGACTTTGCTCCTAGTTCAACTTCCTACCTTCGGCAGCATACCTTGACACATACAAAAGGAACGGGAAGACTAAAACTTCTGTGTTCCTTAACTTGGTGCTCGCTAATTTGGTGAAAACAGGAAGTGTGCAAGCACCACACTGTCATGCTTCCTAGCTGTGTAGAGTTCACATGAAACTAGCAGTCTGTTAGTCTAGGCTCTGAACTACAGATCCAGACCCTTGTTCCCCTTCTCTCTCAGGGTACATTGGATATCTTCAGAACTGCTTCACAGAATACCTCATCTCAATTAAAGTGTTCTCAATATATGCAACCATATACCCCATCCCTGCTTGCGAAAGGTGTAGCTCTTTGTAGTTAAGATATAACTTGAGACCTGGTTTTAATATATTTTGCTGGGATAGGTCACTCATCAGCTTTTTTTACTTTTAAGCTGCTGTATGCAAGGCAGCATAATCCCTTCCAAATAGTTTTTGATTTCTTTAGCTCAACACAGCATAAATCACCATAAATATGATCTTCTTTAAAGAGAGGTGAGCACCTTCTCTGATATGCATCACTTTCCATTACTCCCATCTCAGAAAAGAAAGGCTAACTAGCAGGTATTAAGTACTGCTATAGGTAGAGCAGGTCTCCCCTATAGGAATCTATCACTTGAAAGCGTCTTCTAGCGATGTGGCAGCATCAGGTCACAGAAGAATTTTCTCTGGTGTAAATAACACTGTTTCAAAGAAAAAGAATTCCTCCTTCCATTCCCCATTCTGAGGGGGTGTCTTTTTTAGCACTAGGTGGTCACCACCTTCAGATGCCTGGTTTGGCTTGGTGATTGCAGAGCCTGTTTACTGCTGTACTCCCAGCTTAGCTGAAGCAGGCACAGATCCTGTCATGAAACCTGAGGATCAGAGCAGCTACACCACATGACCTCTAGAAAGGGTGCAGGGAAGAAAAAACTACAACCTGAAAAACAATAATGCCAGAGAGGCATTAAACCACAAAGTGGGTTGGTTTTTTTTTTCCCCAGCAGAAAGGTGCCTATCAGACAGAGAGACAGAGGCAAAGAATCCAGCAGCTGTACTTCTCCTTCAGTCATGTAAAAGCCTTCTCATTCAGAGGCCTTGGAGATTTGTGACAGAATCTCAGTGCAAAGCATTTTGTTGGGTGGCAGCTGGTCATGCAGCCAAGTCTGCTCCCAACTTCTCAGCATTGGTCTGTGTGTATTGCAGTGTCTTGTTTTGATTTCTAAATCTGTGCGTTTTAATTTGCCTGATATTTCACTGTGCCTTGTGTTTGTCAGTTAAGTTAAAACAAAAACCAAACACCTAAAAATGTGAGATTTCAGTGTTAAATTTGGAGGGCTGAGCATTGTGTAATTCACCTGAAGGAACAAGGTTCTCAAGATGCATTTGGTTTTTTTAAACTTGTGGGAGCTGTGGACCTAGCTCTTTTTCTCACTGTTGAGAATTACACATTAACATAACCTTATATTGTATTTCTAAGGAGGAGAGATAGCGAAGAAAAAAAAAGATATTTGGTCTTTTTGCTGTGCAAGTCTGTGCAAGGTCATAGAGGGCCTGAGAATGTGTTCAGGGCATGTATATTCAGTACGTACCCTGAAGCTCATGTTGAATAAAAAATCTAGG